AAGTGGCTGATAAGAAAATACTAGCGTTGGTGAGTGAAGCCGACGGGCCAGGAGTGGTCGAGAATACTTGGAGAACCAGAAGTGGTTTAAGAATACTAGCGTTGGTGAGTGAAGCTGACGAGCCAGGAGTGGTCGAGAATACTTGGAGAACTAGAAGTGGTTTAAGAATACTAGCGTTGGTGAGTGAAGCTGGTAGACCAGGAGTGGTCGAGAATACTCTAGAAGAAGCTTGGAGGAGTTCACATCTTCATTTCTCCTAATTCTTCTATCAAAACCTCTTTGAAAGACTCACCAAGATTTTCTCCACAACATGTCGATCACTGAGTTTTTCACCAAGTAATTTGATTTGGGTAACAATATTCAAAAGTCTATCAGTACAATCTTTGACAAATTCACTTTCTTTCATTTTTACAACTTATTCAAACTCTCCTTAGGTTCAACACCTACATTTATTTCGTTCTTTCATTCCCTTGGAAATCCTCTTGTAGCTTATCTCATGTCTCTTTTACTGTCTTAAGAGTCAGAATCTTAATAAATACATCATCATGAAGTGTTGCTTGTATAATGGCAAAAGCTCTTCCTTATTTTGCCACTTCATCATTGTGACTTCTCATTTGAGTTACTGTTGGACTTTTTAGTAATGGAGGTGGATTACTTCCATTTTCTACTATAACCCACAAACTTTGAGCTTTAAGATAAGTCCTCATTTTTGTAGCTTACAAGTGATAGTTTTTACTATCAAATATAGGGGGTGGAGGTAAAGTAGTCTATCAAAATTAATTTTTGTGTTTGAAGGTTTTTTTTGTGTGTGGATTTCTTTTGCTTATTTTCTCTCTCTCTCTTTTTCTTTCTCACAGACTTTTAAAGTTTAATGAAGCTCTTGATACCATGTTGAAAATAGAACATGAAAACATAGATGTATAACTAAACAAAATATAGAGATTCAGATTAGAAAATCTGTAATATCACAAAAAAAAAGAGCAAAATCTGCTACGATATATTTGAATTATAAACTCAATTTTTGATACTTGCAAAGTATTTACAGTAAATACTGAAATACTAAAGACAATAAACTTCTAATTAGATAAAACAAATAGTTAAATATAACTAAACCAACAAATATACACAATTTACTTTTTCTGAATATAAACAATCTTTAATCAAACTTATAAGGAAAACATAAACCGCGCCACAATTTTCATTATAATCATCCACTGTACACCCTGAGACGACTAGTGATTCTCTCTCGGCACATGGGGCAATTGGTTAACTTGTATCCACACTCTCTGCAAGTCTGTGTTCCAAATAATTTTAAGTACAATAAAAACTAAGAACAATATGAGAAATATATGATTCAACGATAGATGCTAGCTAACTCACCATGTGCCCACATCCAAAGGCCAAATCTCTTGCATTGGTCAAACAAACAGCGCAGGCCTATATATATTTCACCATTAGTACACCAAATAAACCATCAAGCAACTTCAAAGTTAAATAAAATAAAAAATAAAAAAAAGCAAATCTTAATAACTATTTAATTTAAGATATTTAATTTCTTAATTTTATAAATAATTATAAAAATATAAAATTATTTTTTACAAAAAAAAAAACTAGAAAGTTTTTTCGCCTCATTTCATGTACAAATGTTTAAAAATAGAAAACGAAGTAAAATGGAATAACATCTTGTAATTAAATAAAATTCTCGTCTCAAATCTAAACAAGTCCTTTTTTTCTTCTCTTATATCATATAAAATTTAACCTTATTTGTTTATATACATGACAATCAACTATAATCTTACGGCCATTTATCTAATTCTGCCCGGAGACCTTAGCAGGAAATATCTAATTAAATCATATTTGAATTTGAGTTTTTGTCAAGTTATAAGGATAAGAAGCATGGATGAGTTTTAGTTAAAAATAAGATTAGTATTTCTTCTTTTTTTTTTGGTATAACTAGTAACTAAAGTGTCCTAAAATAAAATAAAACAAAAATATTAAAGCTAACCTGATGGTGAAATATTAAGATAGTATACATAATTTCATAGGTTTTATCCTCCAGTGTGACCATTGTAAGTAAAATATATTTTCAGTTATATATTCATTAATAAGTAAAATGATAATTTCAGTTATATATTAATTGAATTAGAATATATTTTATATAAAAAAAAAAGTGGTTGAATTAAAAATATAAGAAGAATATTTTTTTTAGTTTAAATATATTTTTAGTTCTTCAAAATTAAGATAAATTTATTTTTGGTCCCTCAAATTTAAAATTATTTTTTTAAACTCATGTAATTTTCAAAAATCTTGTTTTAATTCCTCAAGTCACCAATAATATATCTATAATACATTGAGAAAGTTGTGCAACATCATCCAAATTTAATGTGATGTTTTCATTAAGTATATTTTATGCGACAATATTTAACAGATTTCTTAACAAAATTTGAATATGAAGACTAAAACAAGATTTTTAAAAATTATATGGATTAAAAAAATTAATTTTAAATTTAAGGAACTAAAAATAAATTTACCTTAAATTTGAAAGATTAAAAACATATTTAAACCATTTATTTTTCAGGTATGTCACCAAAGAATATATTGAATTGGGATCTATTTGGATATAAACTTAAAAACACTTTTAAGTATTTTTTACTAAAAAAAATACTCTTTATTTTCAATAGAAAAAACTTTAAACGTTTTTAATTTATATCCAAACAAACTTTTTTTAATTTTTTTTCATTTCAGTATAGAGAAAGTGAAATTGGGTGCTTGGTTGAGTTATACATACCGATTGGTTTTGGTCATCTGCAGTGGATGCTGTTGTATTGCTGGGTACACGAGCTAGTGATGGTGGTGTTGGTGCAACCCTAGAATAAGGAACAGGAGGAGGTTTTGCAACTATTCTCTTTGCTCTCCCTGTTACACGTCTGTTCTCCAAAAAACAAACACACATGTATCAAGTTAATCATAAACAAGCCAATTCTATGTATCACTTCAAAGAAATTAAACTACATTAATTGTTCCAAAGAAATTAAATTGAAGTTTTGTGTCACCCTGAGCATGTTATTATAACTATCTTTAACTTTTCTAGTGAAGCTTTGGATCATACATACCCCAGTATTCCAAATTCTATGGTTGCTTTATATTGGAAGGGGATCTCCATGAGAGCTGCAAGAGCAAATGCAGCTTCTTTCTCAGAGGGGCTCGTGTTTCTCGACATAATCTCTGTGAAATTAACAAACTGCACAAAACACCAAATATTGTGCTTCAATATATAAAAGCTCAAGTCCCTCAACTATTTACAAATTATTAAATATATGGCTCTCTGCTACCTTTAAAAATCATTCCATTTAATTACAATTTTAAATTTTTACATCCAAAGTTTTATGATTTCGCAAATTTTGCAACCTAATTTTTTAAAATACATTTTATCATTCAACTTTCACATTTTTTTTTAATATTTTTAATATTAGTTGATGATGTGACACATTAATTATTAATATAATCAATTAATTGGTGATGTATTATTTTAAATATTGATATGATACATATGATATCATCGTTTATATGTCATATCAACACTTTATATCAATAGTTAATATATTATGTCAACGATTAATATATCATATAAATAATTAATGTATCACATCAATAATTAATTAATAATTAATTTTAAAAAGTGATAAAATGTATGAGAATTTAAAAATTAGTAACAAAATATACAATCTCAAATACTTGGTGACTAAATTCATGAAATTGTAAAATAAGATGGATAAGCGAAATTATTAGATCTTTCAATTTATAAATTATTTTTAATTGAATCTCTGTTAAGGGTTCTGTTAAGATTGTATATACCTGAAAATTATCATAATCACGTGCCGGTATCTTGTCATCAAACTTTCTCATGTCTTCCCAAGGTCCATCACCAACTCCAACCAGAACTATCGCAAGCGGATAGGCACTGGTATCAGAAATTTAAAAAGAAAAACTGATCATACATAAATGTTAATAAGACAATAAGATGCATCTTCTTTGTTTTAAGGGTGAAAAAATAAAAGACATTGTAAAAAAGACAATGTTACTTTTGTTGTAGCTGAGACTAGCTAACTTCCTCTCTTTCCATAATGCCATGTTTTATTTTGGCATGGAGTGTTCTTTTCACATTAATTATTAGAAACAATCTTGATAAGCATTAAGCTATATATGATATCTACCTTGCATCAACAATTGCTTTAATTGTCTTCTCTTCTTGAGGACTGAGTTCTCCATCTGCTGTGTTGACACTTCTTGTAACCTTAAAAGCAAACACATTTATAAGAATAATAAGATTTGAGAGACATGCATTCACACACACGTGAAGGTAATTAACATTTTATACCTGGCCATCTGCAACTATAACCAACACATGGAATTGGCCTCGATTTTTCTCAACTATGTCTATAGCAGCCTCAATCACCGGAGCATAAGAAGTTGGTCCTTCAAACAAAATGCAACTATTCTTTCAGCCATAAATCTTAAGCCATTAAAATGAAGAATAAAATAAGTTTTTAATCATTCAAAATATCTTAAAATCAAAAGTTGATGATACAAATGGTTCAACACTTATATTTGTTAACCAATGATCAAAATTGATCCATGACTTAGACATGGAGTCATGATCGGAAACACCATATTGCTCCCACAGTGAAAAGAAGTTATACTTCCTTAGTAAAAAAATATCCTGAAATTCAATTTTAATGCTTACATTTAATAGAAATACATATTAAATTTTAGTAAATGTAAGGACCAAAACATTAAATTTTCAAGAGGACTAAAACCGAATTTCATGATAATTTGATGGACCAAACACATATTTTACCCCATAATCAATTGTTACTAGTCACAGAAATTATGCTGCGCAAAAGCAGTTACAGCAAATTGAACTAACTGATTGCAATAAGAACACTATTACACAAAAAGTAAGGATGATCGTGACCTGAAAGTTTCAAGTTTGGAACTATTTTCTGGTAGCAAGCTAAAACTTCCTCAAAGCCATGGCAAGGAGAATGATCACTGTGAAAGCTAAACACTTCTTGATCATGGGTGGTAGCTGCATAATGATAAAAGTTGAACCAGATGTTAAACTTGAAAAACTAAAACTTTCTTTTATAAATGTTTTGCTTTAAGGAGCTTTACCATCTCCAAAGCCAAAGCATGGAATCAAGTTGTCATCATCAAAGGGAGCCAAAGTCTTGCCAATAATGGAGATGGCCTTCTCATAAGGGTTAGGTGTACTTCCAATAGCATGCAGGCTTCTATTATTGAATGAGATTCTTCCTTCAATAAAAACACATAGGTGAACAGTCAGAAAGAAATCATTTCATAAATTGAAGGAATTATAACCAAAACTTAAATTCATATTTTATGATCAAAGAAACCATCTTCTAAGGAGTTTAGCTCAGTTGATTAAGCAGTGTGCGAGAGTTGTTGTAATCCCTTGTAGTTTGATTCTTACATAAACCATCAAACCATTAACCATCTACAAAAGGAGTTTGATTCTTGTAAAAAAAAAATTGAAACCATCTTTGGCCAACTTTAGTCTTTAGCTCTCAATTATGCTTTATAACAGCTTAATCTTATGTGGTTTACAATGGACCATGGAATCACTTGTTCATGTACTACCACTTACCAGTCCATTCATTGCTCTTTGTAAAATCAATTCCAAGGATGAGATTTGATGATTCTAATCCTTCTTTCCTCAGGGCCGTTGTGACCTACATAAGTCAAAAATGGCACGAAAATTTTAGGAAATTCCTTTCACAATGAGCATTGCCAATGACACTGTAGTTGACAATTCATAATTGAATAATAGCTATTACATTTATGACTCTTATTTGCTTAGTGGGATAAAACAATTCATATCATTCCATGATTAATTTGAAGAATAAGTTTCAGTTTCAGAAATTTAAAATATAAAGTGGAAGGGCCAACTTTTAATGTGGCTTGACTTCTTTTACTTCTCTTAATTTAACTTTTACCTAGTTCCAACCAGGATTACTCTTGTTTCCACACACTTTAAAACTATGCTTCAACTAAAGTTAATAAGAGGAATGTACATCCATTCTTCCACAGATTTAAAAGCCTAATATGCCATTAGGCTTTTTCAAAGATAGCCTTTAAGAATATATTATTGAGATAAATTACTCATTAGTTATATCAAGTCAATATAATATATAAAAGAAAAAGCTATAAAGTTTTTCATTGCAGAGCTTTCAAGTAAAAATTTTACGTGAGAGAATTCATATCCTGGATGGAGGGTATTTGAAAAAAAAAAAAAAGAATTCCAGTGACCGATACTCTTTTAACATTCTTTTTTATTGTTGATTGAAGTTTATTAAAAAATAATATATTTTAATGAGTCTTTCTCCTAATTACTCATAAAATTTATAATTTTTAATAAATTTTAGCCGATATTAAGATTAAAGAGTATCATTAGAATTCTTCTTTGAAAAAAAAAATGTTGAAGGTTCTGCTCATTCAACAGTATCAACAATTATCAGGTTCCTCCTTCAACACAATTGCCAACAAACTCAATGACACCCCCTTTAGTTGTTTTATTTCAGAGTCCTCTCTGTTTCTGACTCTGCCTTCTTGATGTGATTTTGGGACAATGGAGGCCATTAAGGTACAAGAGAGTGTGATAACTTAGTGGAGTTGAAACCCTTGATAGTGTGTTTGGACGAGGAATTTTATAAATTCAAGGAATTTTACAAATTCAAGGAATTTTAAATTCTTGGTATTTGAATTACTTTGATTTCAATTTCTATTATTCTTAAAATATTTTGTTTGGATGAGTCAATTCAAATTTCTTAAATTTTAAATTGTTAGGTTGAATATGATAATTTTATTCCATCATAGTAAAATTGATTTTAAAAATATATTTATATGTTGAGATTTTTAAATTAAATTTTATAAAAATAAATATTAATCCATTTTTAAATATTTATTAATTTTAAAAATTAATATTAGATAATATTTAATAATTTTAACAATTAATATTAGATAATGTTTAACAATTTTAAAAATATTTTTGAATATCTAATAATTAAAAAAATGAAGAGATAAGATAAAATATATAGGTGAAATAGGAAAAACAAATATGAAGAATTTCAAATTCTCCCATTTTTGGGAGAATTTGAAATTCTACTATTTTAAGGAATTTCACAAATGATTGGATTTCAAATTCTTTGTAAATTTCTCATCCAAACAAAGCATTTAACCTCAAAGAATTTGAAATTCTTCAAATAAATGAATTAACCCATATAAATTCTTCATCCAAACACACCATGATATTAATTGATTTTGCATCATTTCTCCAAAGATTTTGTTTCACCAACTCTGCATGTTATGACTGTAGCTAAAAAAAGTTGTTTGGGATCATTAAATAATGAAAGCAAGGTCCACTTAGCATTTCTTTTTCTCTTTTGGCATAGGACATTTTGTAATTAACCCTACATGGTGATTTAACAGAAACGGAAAACATTGCCTCAGTTATATGTTTATGCTAAGGTTGATTCTTGACCTGCACATGTGTACCATGCTGTGAGAAGCATAATGGAGGATGACTGTGTGGTCCATTGAGGTTCATGTTTGCCATTATTCACAACATGAGTTTGAATCAATTTGATGATTTAATGAATTTGAACTAAACTAAAAGAAATTCTTTTGGTTTAGTTTGGATTAAAAAATTGCAAATTCAGCCCGTTCAAATTTTATTTTCAGAAAATAAATCAAATTGATCCACTTAATTAAAAAATATCTCATTGTTTTTTACTAGGTTTGATTTAAGGCACAAAATTTAGATTTTTAGTGATTCAAATATGTATTAAGTAAGTTATTTTATAATGTCAATAAATATATTCGTAATATTAAATTTTATCAATTAGACTTGATGACTTGACAAGTATATTTTACAAGTTATTTAATGTAATTTTTTAAATTTTATTATTTTAATAATAAATTTAATGATTAATGTAAATCAAATTGGAAACAATTATGGATTCAAATTAAAAAGTGAAAAGTGAAAAACTCAAATCAAGTAAAGTTAATCGAATCAAATAAAAATATTTCAAATATGGTTCAATTCAATATGTACCCATCCTTAATTCACACCGAATAATATCCTAATAAAATATGCTTTTTTTCCTTGAGAGGACCTTAAGAAGATTTTAAACAATGAAATTCTTAAAAAATTATTTCATGCTTAAAAAGGGTGATCACTACTTTTACATCACTAATGTCCATTAAATCCAACATATTCATCTTAAGAAATAACAATAGGGAAGGATTTTAATAGAATTTTCTTTTTCGTGCATATAGGATCTTAATAGATAACAATAGGGAAGGGTGATCACTACTTAATAGGATTTTACATCACTACTTTTAATAGGATTTTAGTATCAATCCTTAATATAAGAAATAAGTTATAGTGTATTTTACACTATAACTTGCTTAATATAAAAAGGACAAAAAAAATATATAACACAAAAAAATCTTCACAAAGATAAATCAATTCTTCCTTACGAACATTACAAATAAAATTCTTTAACTTAACAAAAATATTTTAAAAAAACGTTTAAATTTTAACTACAAAATATAATAAGTATTATAAGAGTTTTTTATTTATAACAATTATAAGTGTATAGACACATTTTGATAATATATAAAAGACTATTTTATAGGAGAAAAAAATAAAGAAAAACCAACTATTCTAATACAATACTTATTCATAATCAAGTTTAACCATTATGAGATAAGTTACAATTTGTTAAACTACTTTTACTTTACTGTCATTAATGAGTTAGTCACATTTAGCAGTCAAGAAATTACAGCTTCACCTCAAAAAGAGAAACGTCAGAAAACGCGTACACGTACCTTACTCTGTAAAAAAGTTTGAGGTAATAAATTTTTGGAAAAAAAATATTACTATTACTAGCCCATCACATTTTAGAGTATTTCGAAAGAAAAAAAAAACAATGAATTTAAATTAAATAAATCTATTTTTTTAATTCAATTAATTAATATTAAAATTAAACTCCTTTTACATTAGAAAATATTTGTTCGTTTTGGTCACCACCAGAAAGGGGAAAAAATATTTACACGGATTACTGTAGTAATTGGTTTTAATTAAAAATTGATAATAAAATAAATTTTTGTTTATTAATAGAACAGAGATAAGCAATAGGGTAGAATTACATCTATTTTGAAATTATTTAATTAATCTTAATTATATTTAAAGTATGTTGCTCTAATTATTTTTAAGTATAAATAAATATATATATATATATTAAAATTATTGTTTAGTATAAATATATTATATTATTCTTTAATATTGATATATATCTTTAAAAAAATTATTTTTATTTTTCTTCTCTTTGTATTTGATATAAATGATTAAATTAATATTTTCAAAACAAAATAATTAAATTTCCATCATCGATTAAGGAATATAAGTAACAATTTGATCTAACAATTTTTGGTTTAGTTTATTAATTAGTTAATTTCATCAAAATAAAATTATTTGGTACAATAGTTTATTTTAAATTAATTTATGACTTATTTCTGGGTTAATTAGAGTAGTTTATAAGTTATAATTTATGTGTTCATAATTATTTTTCTAATATATTATTCTTCCACTCTCATTATTAAATAAATAAATATCATTTTATATTATAATAAAATAAATTATCTACTAATTTTATTAAATACTTTCAATTCAATTAATTAAACTAATAAATTCCTAGTTTTTCAAATCCTAATATATAAGCTTTTAGGTAATTATAAGTTTTTATCAATTTATAAACTAGTTTATTGAATATACCCCTTAATTATTTCAATCACATTGTTAAATTGGTCCAATAATTCCGATTAAATGCATGTGCTACATAATTAGAATTTTGTTAAAACTTTAATAAAAAAGTACAACTTATTCTCGTTATGTAAAAATAAAATAGAAAATTCTTTATTCCTTCCTCAAATGCCGCCACCTTGTACACTTTCTTATCAAATCAATTACATTTTTTTTCTTAAATTATGAATATTAAAAAAATAAACTAATTAATAATGAGTTGGGGAAGACGTTAAAGGTCACGAAGCAAAATAATGTTGTTTATATTAGAATAACATAGATTAAGTACCAATCGTACTAGTAATAAGAATTTAACTTATTTTAAGTTGTCTTTCAAACAAAAAACAAAAACTTCTTTAAGGTGGGAAACTGTATAAAAATAAAATAAAATAATGATGTATTCATCTTTAATTAAATTAAAATTTCTTTTATAAAGTTAACTCACTTTAAATTAAAAATAACATATTTTCACTTTATTCACAATTTTAAAAGAATAAAATTCGAACAAACATTATGAAATAAACTAACTATAATATATGCAATTCTTAAACTGTTTATTTATTCATATGCCAATTAGTTTATAAATAAATTAGTTTTATCTTTTTCCAAAATATAATAAAATTAAACACGGAGTACGACAATTAAATCGACAACAATTGATGACCACGTGAGTTGAGTTTTTCCCGTGACGTTTGGGGCTAGACTTCCATACTTTGCTACAATAGAAATAATATTTATATATTTTTTATGCATTAAAATGTAGAATAAAAAATCTAGAAAGAGAAATAAGTGTAAAATAAAATAATCAATATCATAGAAAAATGATATCATAAATTATGTTTTTATAGATAATATAACTCCGGAAAATTTCCAAGAAGTTGTATCAATGGAAAATAAAAGCAGCAGTTGAATAAAATAAAGAAAATGACTAGTGTCCAACCCATCTAATTCAATACCCATTAACACATTTTTGGAAAAGCTTCGACTACACGTTATTAGCTTTATTTGAGATTGAAAAAAAAAATTCGTATTTGAAAATAATATTCGATCTTAATTTTGATGAAAAAAATTTGATTTGATATATATATTAACATAATATACATCAAATAAGATCGAAGACAAGAAAACTAGTACATATTCTTTATTGATGCTGTATTAGCTTTTTAAATATTTTTTCTTTACAATAATTATATTAAATTTGTGTTTGATTTGAATTTTGAAATGCAGAAACATGTCAAATTAGAAGCATCTCTTCGAAATTTTTTACAACATGTTTGGATATACGTCTTTTTTAAAAATCCATGTTTAAAAATCCTTCCAATCATACACTACATCCACAATCAAATTGACATGAAAAATGGAGATACCCATTTTTCTTTAATGCAAATCCAAACACATGCACTATGAATTCTTTTGAATCTATTCCATTTCCTACCGGATCAATTCTAGTGATTAATTTTTTAAATATTCAAAACATCATGTTAGCCTTTTAAAAAAGATAAAAATCATTATGTTTGTTATGCTAATCTTAACTTTTTAGAATTTTCTTTTTCACCGAAAAAGTTATTCGTTATTAAATTAACTTCGAAATATTTTGTGCGATTATGTTATTTCTTTCAAGAGTAAATATGATGGAAATTTAATTTGTTAAAAAGTTAATTCAATTATAAAACTTATGAATAATTAATAATAATAAAAAAAAAGATTTTGTTACTGTTATCTATACATCCAAAGTTCAATGAATTCAGAAATATCGGTAGAGAAATTTGATTCTATAATTTTTATTTTAAATTTTTGAGTTGGATGTGATAGATTAAATTAAATATTTAGTTTGGAATAATATTTTCAATAGTGCATAATACAAATATCATATATAATATTTTTGTAATGGATCAGAATACATCTTATCCTTCCATTAATTTTAATTATTTATATTATAAATAAAAAAATATCGGTAGAGACAAAACAATAATCACCAACCCTTAACGTTTAAGTTTAAAAGATATATTATAAAATTATAGAATTTCTCTAGTACGAGTTTTTATATAACTTAATTCTATAATAAGGTTATATTTTTCTTATAAACTCTTTATTTATTTTATCCGTAATTGATGTAAAATTAAATTTTTTTTTTTCATATTCTCTAATTAAAATTTTGAGAAATTAATCTGAAAATAAAATTAAAAAAAAAAATGAATGAATACCTGTTCAAGGGTGGTGAAGTTATCAGTAATCAAAGCATACTTCTTGGCAGGTTGTTTTGTATTCATTACTGATGAGCTCTGTTTGGAGTTAACTCTTCCAAAACTTGGTTTCCTGGGCATTGACGGCGGTGGTAGCGGCGGCGGCGGTTCTAGAGTTGGATACAATAGCGGTTGTCGCTGAGGCAATTGGGTTGAGATATTGGAAGGTAAGCCTCTGGTATTGACGGTGGTGGTGTAGATTCTTCTTCCTTTATCACTTCTAGAACTTTGAGTTCCTTGCTTTTTATTTTTGCCAAAGAGGTTGCCCATGGCATCTTCAACTACCTTTCTCAAAAAATGAAACACCTATGTGTATATATATATATATGTCGTGTTAGTGATAAGAGGAAAATAATATATAGTTTTTGTAAAAGGAAACGCAGAAGAAGGTGCTGGTGATTCTTCATGGAAAATTGTAAACAAAACTAAAGGTGATGGATGCATGGATTTGAAAGGAATAAAGAAGAAAAAAGAAAAAAATATTACGGGTATCGGATTCTGGGCACTTTATTTTGCTTGGGAGATTTGTAGAAATTGTATTATTCGTGTTGTGGCTGAAGAACCAAGTGCTAAAGCAAGAGTGGGCTTTCTGTTTTAGGTGGAATGATTAACCTTGCGTGTGAGATGGGGTTATAAAATCAATCAAGTATGACGTTAAGTGAATAACTACTTTGAAAATTATCTAAACTTATTTTGACTTTAAGGAAAAATATTTATTTTAATTGTGATATTCGATTTATTAAATTAAATATAAAAATAAAAGTGAAAAGTTAAAAGTAGATATATATTTATGTATTTTTTTTTATAAAAATAAAAAAGATTATAAAGATGATTGTAATAAAAATTGAATTTATCATATATTTATTTTAAAATTTTAAAACTTAAACTTTTTTTATAAAAATTTATATTTATATAATTTTTACTTTATTTTATATTTATGTTAAATAAAACTTAATTAATATAATATTTTAATTATTATTTTATATTAAAATTATTTTTTTAAATACTTTTGTAAAAAGATTGATTAATTTATATCTAATATTCATATCATGTATGGAAAAACTACTAGGATTAGTCTAGTGATTGGGTAGAAAGAGTTAGGGTAGTTAGAAACATGAGGATTTATGTTTAATTCTTATTACGACCATCTTTGTAATTTTTCTTATCTTTACCAAAAAAACAAATATTTATGTATGGGAAAATTACTAGGGTTAGTCTAGTGGTTGGGTAGAAAGTGGTTGGGTAAAGAGAGGTTGGAATAGTTAGAAGCACGAGGATCTAGGTTCAATCTTCACTGCGATCATTTTTGTAATCTATTTCTATCTTAAAAAAAAAAATTCCATGTATGGAGGAAAAAATTGTATAAAAAGTACAAAAATGAGAACAGAATAACAAGATAGTGATGTATCTGCTTTTACATGTTGCCATCCATATAATCAAGTATAAAAGTAATAAAACTGGTTTTTTTTTTTTTAAAGTAGAAACAGCTGCGCCCATTTATTTTCTATAAAAGGGTCTGGTCTATGGGTATAAATAAAGAATAAATATTTTCCTTTTTTAGCATAATGAAATAATTTTAATGTTATATTTTTATTAATAAATATTTTTGTAAGTATATTTTGTGCAATAATATTTGAATTTTTTTTTAAAAAAATATTTGATTACAAGAATTAAAATAATTTTTTTTAAAGTTATAGAAAAAAAAATCAATTTTAAATTAGAGTGACTAAAATAATTTTACCTTAAATTTAAGACATTAATATAGTTTCACTTACTTTACCTATTTGTCCTATAATTTAAAATAGATTTTACCTCTATATTTATCTTTTGCAAATTTTTTTAGTCTTTAGTTTTTAAGATTGATTATTTTAGTTCTTATACTTGTACTTCTTTTATTCATTTAGTCTCTATTGTTAATTTTTAGTAAGGTTGTCTCGTTCGTCATAACATGACAAAGATATATGTTCGATATTAAATTTATTTTGTCAAAGTTATTCTATATTAAGTCTCTCAACACTTTCTCTCTCTTTTGTATTCGTACTTGTAATTCCTATTTTTAAAACATATATCATTTCTTTATCTTCACAAAATTGAAGACATGTACTACATCAACACAAAACAAATAACATTATAAGAAAATTAAAAAATCTTAAACTATAGTGTTCTCACCTAAGATCGGTCTAGGGACAACTTCTCTAGTGAGATTGGTGAGCCTCTTCTGCCTGGTGCGTCCATTGTTTCGAGATGGGGGTGGTACATGCAAAAGACTCTCTGATGTTTAAGTTAGTCCTTGATAGTGTAGATGTCTCATATATATAGTAGACGTACCTTGATGATTTTAGGATTTTTTTCCTTAGGCGAGAACGGGGTTGGAGTCAGCCCAAAGTTGGTTGCAGCCCAACTAGTTATGGGCTCGCACACATGACTCATGTCATAGTATGATTAGGGCCGACTTGGAACTCGATACTGGATGTGGACAATACATATAGTAATTAAAAAAATTGAAAAAAATAAATATAAAATTTTTTAAAAATTATTTTAAACTATAAAGACTAAATAATAAAATAAGTAAAAGTATAAAAACTAAAAAATATTTTAACCTAAATTATTTTAAAACTTGATGAAATTAAACATAATTTGATTAAGGTGGGTTAACTTTGTTATTATTTTTTTTTTCAAGTGATCCAACAAACAAGATTGTAATATTAATAAAATCTAATTTATTTTTGAAAGTATATATAAGTAGTTCAAATTTTAGAACATGTTTCAAATAATTAAAAATACAATAATATTTTAAATAAGTAACACTAAGTCATTACCAATTATAAAATGACATTATTTTCTTATAATTGGATTATTAACTCAAACTTTATCTGCTGTGTCCTATATGTATTTGATTTTATGTTTTGTATCTCTTATATGTCGATTTTTTTTTTTGGAATATAATTTTTTTAAAATATATATACAGAAATGGACCCACATTAATTTATTTACACAAGTAAATTTACTTGTGTAAATAAATTGATTGTGGATGCATTTCTGTAATTATTTTTCAAAAAATAATATTTTGAAAAAAAATTCCGTATATATCAGATAACATTAATTTGTCATATATCCACACTGTGTCTCGTGTCACAATCAGCACTCAGCGCGTTGCCACTGCTGCGTTGCAGACGTACTCATACGCCTCCACCACATTAAACACTATAACCTACAAAAGTTTAAAAAAAAAAAAAAACCACTCTCACAAATTAGTTAAAGAAAAAATTTGGCATATCACTGGGCTAAATGAAATTGTATGCTTAATTTATATATATATATATTTTAA